AATCGATTCGGAAAAACTGTTCAATGAATCGATATGCAATTTAAAAATTTTTCCAATTTTAATTGACCGAAAAAAGAGCGTAAAAATTTTTCCTACATTTTTTTGCGATATTTCATAGGATTACCTGAGTATTGTAATGTCGAAAAAGTTTTGGCTACAAAATCTGAGAACAAGAACCTCTAAACTTCCTAATTTTTCTGATCTCTGCTACGATCGTCTTCACTGAAATACAGTCCATCGAATATAATTGAAAAATTCGGAAATTTTTTTTGCTTCTTTAAATTTTTAGAGTAATGTAGTTAACTTCATTGAATATAATATAATATATTGAATTTTCAGCTGTAATTTAAGTATAAACAATACATCGGCATACATCTAACTATAAAATTGTATTATATTATACGATACCGAAATTTTTGTTTGAATTCATTGACTGCATTTTTAACATTGCGTAATGACGATAAATCCATAAAAAGCGCTTCGCAAGCTGCATTATTTCGTATACTTTTTATCTTTCGAATAGCGTCAGCAGCTTTTTTAGAATTCCGACAAGCCATTATAACTGTGCAACCATGAAAAGCTAATGTTTTTGCAGTTTCGAATCCTTGAAAAAATTATTCAAATTATAAAAATCTTTTTATTTTTAAGATATTATGAAAAATAATTGCCTTACCAATGCCCGTATTTGATCCGGTTATTAAAGCAACTTTGTTTCTTAAATCTTTACCATGTAAGACAGATAAAGCTGAGCTACTAGCATCGAACCTCTGGCGAACTGATTGAGATGGGTCTCTATATTCAACAGCAAAGGCCAATCGAGGATCAGTATAAGTTGTTGTACAGTTTAAATGATCAATAAATAAAGTTTTTCCATTATCCGTGGTACATTTTTCCCAACCAGGTGGCAGTTCTAAGAATCAAAATATGTATGCATTAAAATTGATGATAAGAAACAAACGGAGTAATTTTTTTTAATTTGAAACGGAGTGCACCATTATATAAACAGTGTAACAGGAAATATTACCCATAATCGATAAGTCGCCAGAGATCGATAACTTTTCGACTAGCACTTGTGCGCCTCGATCTTCGGGCCTAGAGAGAGAGTAAGTGGGGGTAATTTTGGGATTTCTTGGCTAGTCACTCAGCGGCGGTGAGTTAGAAGTAGTGCCCTGAATAAAAAAAAGTATTGAAACAAAGGAAAAATTATTGAAAAGTATTGGATTGACTAGAAGACCAATACTTTTCAATATTTTTTTCTTTGTCTCAATACTGTTTTTTTATCAGGGTAAAGTGAAGTGCTCAAGCTAACAACATCCAAAAGTCCAAGAAAGAACTTGATTGGAACAAAGGAGTTTTCTTTAAGCAAAATTTACACCAGGTATTGAGACTTCCATATTGATGAGCCGCGGGGTCAAATACTCGGCTCATCAGATTACTCCTTCTCATTTCCATTAATTGTTTTGAGTAATTCAATTGTCCAGTAATAATTAATTTAATAATAATTTCATAATTATTTAACCGTAATTCAATTTGATTCGTTAGTTGCTGTGGGCATTCCTCTTGGGGGTTTATACCCGAGGAATGTTCTAGACCTTGTGGTTTTAAAAGTTGCGAGAAATTACTTATTAATTCGGCCGATTAATAATTGCTAACATCGAAAGATTGATTAGATAAAATTATTTTTATTAATAAAATAAACCCGAATTTCTGAACATCGACAAAATTCCAATCGTCAGCTTACAGATCGGTCAAGCGTCGGTCGTATACCCGAGGTCAAAGCATTACTACGCACTTACGAATGCCGGTGTCCATTTTGAGCGCGCAAATTCCTTTGTCAATTATATCACGCAGTAATTTATAAATTTAACAACTGAATTATTATTATTTAATTTACAACAATTGAATTATCATTAATTAATATTATTTATTGGAAATTATTTTATTATTGAGAATCAATTATTGAGATTTCGACGCCATTAAGATTGAGATACCCGTGGATAATTTTTCGTAAATTTATTTCATTTTGAGATAATTATTTATAATCTATTTATTTAATCGGAAAATTCCTCGCGGTTAATTTTTATATATTGAACTTAAGTTCTGGAAAATTATTTATTAATTTTAATTTCATCATCTTGGAAAAATTCTTTAGAATTTATTTAACTACGTGGATTATCAAGTCCGGGAATTTTTAGTTAATTAAAATTGTTTGATGAAATTTTATAAGAATTATTCTATAATTAATGACAAAATTACGAGTTAAATTGGAATAAGTTGTCCGTCGAATGTTCCGGAAATTTTATTTAGCGTTGAGTATTAAACTCGTGGTAAAATTTGGAATAAGTTTAGGCATCGGTTTTAGCCCGGAATCCTTAAGAAGTAAATTATTAGTCGTGGATATAATTTATGATTTTATTTGTTAGCTAATGACTGAATAATTTAAGTAAAAATTAATGTAGTTAATTTTTGGGAATTAATTTTGTTAAAATTTAATGTAATAAAATATTTTACTTCATTTTCGCAAATCGCTAAAATTTTCACAAAAAAAAACCCCACCCATGTAGGAAAGTATGGCGGGCCCAGGCCTGGCCTAACTATGTACAACTCTGGGCCAGGCTTGTAAGCCAGAGTTGGCTCAGTCTTGGTTTAAATCTGGAATGATAACGCTGGCTCAAGCCTGGTTACCAGAACTGGCCCATGCCTGGCCACCAGGGTTCTTTTGCCTCAGCCATTCTATGGCCAACCAGTCTTGGCCCAGGCTCGGATAATCATTGGGCCGGCCGAGGCTTGGTGGCCCAGTCTTGGCCCAGGCTCGGGTAATCATTGGGTTGGCCAAGGCTGATTACCCAGTCTTGGCCCAATATCGGTGCGCCAAGCTTAGTTGCCCAGTACCATTTCTAAACTAATCGATTGATTATTCTAATCTTCGAACTTATTCGAGGTATTTGTCCAAGGAATAAAAGTACCAAGTTTCATTCTGAGATTCATCAAGAATTTAAGGAGCCATCGTGGCCTCAAGCTGCATTATATTACAAAATTATATCGATAAACTTTTGACCCAATGTTATTTTTGAGCCTTACTCGACTAATTAGGTGACATTAAGACAAAATTCTAAGTGAAGTCTGACGTGATGACCAATGCAATAGATATATGCAACAGATGTAGCAGGCTTGGTGAATGAATTGAAACCAAATACTGTGAGTAAGAACAATGCTATATTTTAATGTTATCTACTACTTCATGACTGTTTACTACGATTTTTTAATACTTCTAACGTTTTTCCGCGATCTATTCAAAGTTGGCGGATATGCCAACCAAACCAACTTAAAATTTGGAATCAGCGCATCAAAGACATAAAAAAAATACGTGATCTAGTTGAAAAAATTTTTTTCGTTTGCTAATTGCAATTTTGCACGCCTCATAGCGCGAAGCGCGTGAGGTTGTGCTTTATACTCGACTCGTCAAGGTTAAGCAATTTTGTGATCTTTAAATGCCTTTATCACAACCATATTACACTTATATAATAATATAAGTAGATGTACACCGAGAAAACACTTAAATTAAACCATCTTTTACTTACTAAAATCATTTCACGTCACTATTTTGAAAAAACAAACGTTTTGAAAAAAATTTTACGTGGACGTCCGGATGTCATCCCATTTTGGATGTATCAACGATTACTCCCGAACAAATTGACATTTCAAGACCGGACCTTTTTTATTAGTTTAAGAATTTATTTTTTTTTTAAATAACCCCTAGGTATCGCAGGGCCCTTGTTGACGTCAGTGTTGTTCCTCCCATGTCCACAGCAAATGGTTTTGGGAACCATTTTTGACGTGTCGAAACGACCATCTCGGTTTTCTGTTTGGCGAGTTTCAGGTGATGCTTATCAAGCCAAGTCTCGACAGTGTCGATGGTTTCTCGAACTAGCAGTTCGGCCTCTTCTACGCTGTCCGCCACTATAGTGGCTGCAACGTCGTCTGCAAAGCCTGTTAGCTCTACTTGCTCTGGCAGCGGGATTTCAAGAAGCTCGTCGTAGTCTGCGTTCCATAGATCAGGCCCCATTATTGAGCCTTGCGGCACGCCAGCTGTTATGACGTATTCTTGTGGGCCTTCAGTAGTCTCCACTATTAGCTTTCTATCGTCAAGGTAATTGTCGACTAGTGCCAGATTTTCTGGCTCCGCGTCAAACTTGTGCTCCAGGGCGTCCAAAATATCT